ATAACCCTGTTCGAATTGTCCTCTGGAATAAAGGCCATTCTGGAGTAATAATTACATAACCAACGTTCTCTAGTAATACTAGTCCAGTTCAAATAGGTATTTGGTCACGTGCGTACGATGCGTGCATGTGTCAAGTAAAGAGAGCAAGGGTTGAGGGATTTTCCTAAACAAATGAGGGATTTTGGGAACAGAACTTTAAAGTCAGAAATGGTTGTAATTATGTTGCAGCTTTAGAAACATGGACAGCGCGATAAACACTTTGATCTTCTTTGGTGGTTGCTGCAGCATGAAGAGAGGCACTAGTCAGTCACTTGCTATCTTTAAAAAATACACAGCGCAGCAAGTCTGAATCTCTCCTCCACAATCAAATCAATTGCTGGTCGGACTCCCTCTAGTCATTTGTATGTCTTAATTATTTAATCAAACTGTGTGCTTAAAGCATCAGACAAGCTCCTTGAATATAGTTGATTTGATTTAAAACACATACAGTACCAGTCAAAAGTTTGGATACACCTACTTATTCAAGGGTTTTTCTTTATTTTTTACAATTTTCTACATTGTAGAATAATAGTGAAGATATCAAAACTATGAAATAACACATATGGAATCATGTACTAACCGTAAAAGTGTTAAACAAATCAAAACATATTTTAAATTCTTCAAAGTAGCCACCCTTTGCCTTGACAGATTTGCACGCTCTTGGCATTCCAGCAAAGCACCCCCACACCAGCACACCTCCTCCATGCTTCACAAAGGTTGGAACCAAAAATCTCAAATTTGGACTCATTAGACCAAAGGACAGATGTCCACCGGTCTAATGTCCATTGCTCGTGTTTCTTGGCCCAAGCAGGTCTCTTCTTCTTATTGGTGTCCTTTAGTAGTGGTTTCTTTGCAGCAATTCAACCATGAAGGCCTGATTCACACAGTCCCCTCTGAACAGTTGATGTTGAGATGTGTCTGTTACTTGAAATCTGAAGCATTTATTTGGGCTGCAATTTCTGAGGCTGGTAACTCTAATGAACTTATCCTCTGCAGCAGAGGTAACTGGATCTTCCATTCCTGTGGTGGTCCTCATGATACACAGTTTCATCATAGCGCTTTATTGTTTTTTGCTACTGCACTTGAAATGTTCCTGATTGACTGACCTTCATGTCTTAAAGTAAAGAACTGTCGTTTCTCTTTGCATATTTTAGCTGTTCTTGCCATAATATGGACCTGGTCTTTTACCAAATAGGGCTATCTTCTGTATACCACCCCTACCTTGTCACAACACAACTGATTGGCTCAAACTCATTAAGAAGGAAATAAATTCCACAAAGTAACTTTTAAGAAGGCACACCTGTTAATTGAAATGCATTCCAGGTGACTACCTCATGAAGCTGGTTGAGAGAATGCCAAGAGCTTGCAAAGCTGTCATCAAGGCAAAGGGTGGCTACTTTGAAAAATCTCAAATATATAAAATATATTTGGATTTGTTTAACACTTTTTTGGTTACTACATTATTCCATATGTGTTATTTCATAGTTTTGATGTCTTCACTATTATTCTACAATGTAGAAAATAGTAAAAATAACAACCATTGAATGAGGAGGTGTGTCCAAACTTTTGACTGGTACTGTAAATGGAAAAATATGTGTTTTAACCTTTCGACCAATCAATTGGTCAAAAGAACAGACAACCAATATTTATTTCCGTCTGGGACAGACCTACTATTGATCTACAAGTCATTTTGCATGCCGAACAACCTCATGCAATATTAGTAGCCTAGTCAAACTGTGCACTGCTTCGCGCGCTGACCAACGAGAGGTCTATTCCTGATCTTGCACATTTGCGTGTCACCTTCAGCATTCAAATGTTTGTAAAATGGCTTGCACACTATTAGGCTTTATTAGTTGAGTGACAACCAATTTAATTTGCTAGGTTATTGTTATCAAATGCGCTGTTTAATTTCTTTTTGGAATAAAGGTAAGCTGAGACAACTGGCATTTGGCTATACTGCTGATCGGGCTTACATACATTTTTTTTTTTCATTGTTCAGGTTCACCATCAGCAAGAGTTTTGGTCGTTTTGCTTTAAACAAGAAGGTCGATGTCCGCGCCCCCACGGAAATCTAATTCGCATTCGTCTATGGAAAGATGAGACTCACGAACACGATGGTGTTGTCCATTTTGCTACCCCCACAAGCGTCTAGGGACTCGTCTGAAGTCGGTACAGCCGATCTGCCAACTTCTGTCTGTAGCGTCTGAACACACTAATATGACCCCTCTTTGGAAATGTGAGGCTCTCACGAACGCGTACATGTTGGTTGTTGTGCTCAAGGACTCACAAGACTCGTCTGAAGGTCCCCCGGTACCAGTTGAAAAAATTTTTGGAGACTGTTTAGTGCCAAATATAAGGGGTTAAATACATGTTTAAAAAAATAACAAATGTTTCCTGATCTTTATTATATTTCTCAGCTAAAGGACAGACACTTCAGAACAAACTTCCTTTTGATTTTATTTGGTGACGAACTGTTGTTCCATGTAGTGAATCTGTTATTCAATGCGTTTTGTATATATAAAAAAATAAAAATACTTTTTATACATTTGCTGGCCCATGTTGACTCCAATGCTTACCACAGTTGTCATGTTGGCTGGATGTCCTTTGGGTGGTGGAGTATTCTTGATACACAGGAAATTGTTGAGCGTGAAAAACCCAGCAGCGTGGATTTAACAGGTGACATCAATTGCCAAAATATGATAGTGGGGTGGTAGATGCCCAGTCTCCCGTATGGCTCAGCTCAGGTGCCTGCATACACCATAGATATATACTTGTCACACACACACGTTGGTTTTACTATCCAAGTGGGGACCAAAACATTGATTCCCATTCAAAATCCTCTTTTCCCTAACACCTAACCTTAACCCCAGTCTCCTAACCCTAAAACTAATCATAATCCTAATTGTAACCTTAAACCTAAAGGTGTCCGCATGCTAGGTGAACCAAACGAGTGTGCTCGCATACTCCCTTAAAAGACCTTCACTTGAAAAACTAGACAGAAGTTAGTACTGTTTGTCCATTTTGAGACTCAGTAACCAGGGGGAAAAAAGTATTTGATCCCCTGCTGATTTTGTACGTTTGCCCACTGACAAAGAAATGATCAGTCTATCATTTTAATGGTAGGTTTATTTGAACAGTGAGAGACAGAATAACAACAAAAAAATCCAGAAAAACGCATGTCAAAAATGTTATAAATTGATTTGCATTTTAATGAGGGAAATAAGTATTTGACCCCCTCTCAATCAGAAAGGTTTCTGGCTCCCAGGTGTCTTTTATACAGGTAACGAGCTGAGATTAGGAGCACACTCTTAAAGGGAGTGCTCCTAATCTCAGTTTGTATAATCTCAACCTGTATAAAAGACACCTGTCCACAGAAGCAATCAGTCAATCAGATTCCAAACTCTCCACCATGGCCAATACCAAAGAGCTCTCCAAGGATGTCAGGGACAAGATTGTAGACCTACACAAGGCTGGAATGGGCTACAAGACCATCGCCAAGCAGCTTGGTGAGAAGGTGACAACAGTTGGTGCGATTATTCGCAAATGGAAAAAACACAAAATAACTGTCAATCTCACTTGGCCTGGGGCTCCATGCAAGATCTCACCTCGTGGAGTTGCAATGATCATGAGAACGGTGAGGAATCAGCCCAGAACTACACGGGAGGATCTTGTCAATGATCTCAAGGCAGCTGGGACCATAGTCACCAAGAAAACAATTGGTAACACACTACTTCGTGAAGGACTGAAATCCTGCAGCGCCCGCAAGGTCCCCCTGCTCAAGAAAGCACATATACAGGCCTTTCTGAAGTTTGCCAATGAACATCTGAATGATTCAGAGGAGAACTGGGTGAAAGTGTTGTGGTCAGATAAGACCAAATTGGAGCTCTTTGGCATCAACTCAACTCGCCGTGTTTGGAGGAGGAGGAATGCTGCCTATGACCCCAAGAACACCATCCCCACCGTCAAACATGGAGGTGGAAACATTATGCTTTGGGGGTGTTTTTCTGCTAAGGGGACAGGACAACTTCACCGCATCAAAGGGACGATGGACAGGGCCATGTACCATCAAATCTTGGGTGAGAACCTCCTTCCCTCAGCCAGGGCATTGAAAATGGGTCGTGGATGGGTATTCCAGCATGACAATGACCCAAAACACACGGCCAAGGCAACAAAGGAGTGGCTCAAGAAGAAGCACATTAAGGTCCTGGAGTGGCTTAGCCAGTCTCCAGACCTTAATCCCATAGAAAATCTGTGGAGGGAGCTGAAGGTTCGAGTTGCCAAACGTCAGCCTCAAAACCTTAATGACTTGGAGAAGATCTGCAAAGAGGAGTGGGACAAAATCCCTCCTGAGATGTGTGCAAACCTGGTGGCCAACTACAAGAAATGTCTGACCTCTCTGATTGCCAACAAGGGTTTTGCCACCAAGTACTAAGTCATGTTTTGCAGAGGGGTCAAATACTTATTTCCCTCATTAAAATGCAAATCAATTTATAACATTTTTGACATGCGTTTTTCTGGATTTTTTGTTGTTGTTATTCTCTCTCACTGTTCAAACAAACCTACCATAAAAATTATAGACTGATCATTTCTTTGTCAGTGGGCAAACGTACAAATTCAGCAGGGGAACAAATACTTACTTCCCTCACTTCCTCAAAATAGTCAGAATTAATCTAAGATAACTCAAGAAATGTCATTTTCTTTTACATTTTTGGCTCCGACAGATCCAGCTCAGAGAGGCCCAACTAATGTACTCCATCAGCAGCAGATTTGAATTTATAATGGAAAATGAATGTGTTTTTATAAGAAGTCTAAGTGAATCGCACCAAATTGTTTTAAACTAAAACATATTGTTCTTTTTTTAAGTGAAAGAGGCACATCCCTGCACTGTATCTATCAGGTATCGAACTCCATCCATCTGGCGGTATCTTAATGTGATTTTTATGAAAGTATATGTGTCGTTACAGTGAAGAGGAAGAAAGCCATCCTGTCAGACAGTGAGGAGGAGAAGGCTGACGAACCAGGTAAGATGACAGACCAGCAGCTGGGCCAGCGCAATTGGGTGGCTCTGGTCAAAAGTAATGTACTGTATGGGGAATAGGGTGGCATTTTAAGATGCACACCTTATCTTGAAGTCTGATAGTAAGCGAGTGTGTGGAGATTAAGGCTGCATCTTAAATTACCCTCTATTTCCTACACTGTGGTGTGTTAGGTCTGTCTTTCTTTTATTGAGCTGCTCTGTTGGTCAGGTCTCCCTTGTAAAAGAGGTATTCTGACCTTAATTGGACTTCCTGGATAAATAAAATAGTTTTGGCCAGAGCCGAGGAGCTGAGGATGATCATAATGATGGTGACTCCTCTCCCTCAGCGGCGAAGAAGAGCCGCGCCGTGTCCGACGATGAGAACTCTGACAGCGACGCAGGCTTGGAGACGCCCGACAAAACCATGGCCAAACTGCGGGAACTGGGCTCAGAAAGCGAAGACGAGGATGATGGACAGAAGGCGGAAGGGGGGAAGAAGGATGAGAAAACACTGTTTGGTAGCGACAGCGAATCAGGCGACGAGGAAGAGTAAGTGTTCCGATCCCCCCACACACTCCTTTCTGTTATTACGGTGCTATCACTCTGTTGTTAGTACTCCTGCGTAGTAGTCTCTCTGATGGACCTGGCCTGAGTGTGATGGCGACTATGTACTGTGGTAATCCGGTGAAGTAAACGTTGTTAAACTGGAACCTAGTCGTTGTGTCATTTTGCGTTAACAGTACAGCTGTGCTGGGGTATGAAGTAATTGAGGTAGCTATGTAACTATAGGTACATATGAACTGAAAGGATGCGTGTGTATTGTAGGTTGTATGGTTGGTTCTGATTGTAGGGTTCCTATGCTGTCTCGTATAGGAAAATGATTGCTGACATTTTTGGTGACTCAGGCGATGAAGAGGGGGAAGAGTTTACGGTGAGTTTTACCCACTTTACAAAAACATTTGTATTCAAGACATGCTTCGTAAACAACAGTGAAATGCTTACTTACGGTTCCTTCCCAACAATGCAGAGAGAAAGAAAATAGAGAAATAATAGAAAAGTAATAACACAAAATTATAAATACACAGTGAGTAACGATAACTTGGCTATATACACGGGTACCATTACCAAGTCACTGTGCAGGGGTTCGAGGTAATTGAGGTAGATACAGTGATTTCAGAAATTGATTTAATTCTTCTTCTTTTTTTCAATCTACACTAAATACTATGTCAAAGTGGAAGAATAATTCTAACATTTATTAGTCGCTCTGGATAAGAGCGTCTGCTAAATGACTAAAATGTAAAATGTAAATATTAATGAAAAATAAAGCTCTAATTTTCTTGATTAGTTAAGTATCAATACATGTTAGAATCACCTTTGGCAGCGATTACAGCTGTGAGTCTTTCTGGGTAAGTCTCTAAGAGCTTTGCACATCTGGATTGTACAATATTTGCCCATTTTTATTATTTTTAACTCTTCAAGATCTGTCAAGTTGTTTGTTGATCATTGCTAAACAGCCATTTTCAAGTCTTGCCATAGATTTTCAAGCCAATCAAAGTAAAAACGGTAACTAAGCCATTCAGAAACATTCTAAGTCATCTTGGTAAGCAAATCCAGTGTACATTTGGCCTTGAGTTTTAGGTTATTGTCCTGCTGAAAGGTGAATTTTGTCTCCCAGTGTCTGTTGGAAAGCAGACCGAACCAGGTTTTTCTCTAGGATTTTGCCTGTGCTACTCAATTTCTTTTTATCCCACCAAAAACTCCATAGTCCTTGCTGTTGAAGAGCATATCCATAAAATGATGCAGCCACCACCATGCTTGAAAGTATGAAGGTTGGGACTCCGTGACATTGTTGCCTCCTCTCCTAGCGTTCTGGCTCCATTGGTCCCCCTAGCATCCTAGCATCCTGCACTTTCTACAGATCTGATTGGACTGGACTAGTGGCCACTAACCATAAAGCATATTTAGCCTATAACTTTTGTTATTCAGAAACATAAAATACTGCCATGAGAAAAATACAGTGAAATGGTATTTTGACCATATCAAGTCCTTTCAGATCTGTGAACATCAAGGGTTGGTTTCCCAATCACAGATTAATCTTGTCCAGGACCAAAAAGCATTCTCAACAGAGAATCTCCATTGAAAGAGCTTTTAGTCCAGGATTAGGCTTAATGTGTCCGGGAAACCGACCCCAAAGGTTTAGGGACTCTTGAGAATTGTCTAGACACCGAAACTATACCGCATCTTTGATTCCCGATCCCAACGGCTGACATTTGATGTTTCTGCACCAATAGGGTTTCAATCAGGAGGATCTGGAGGGGGATAAGAACCAATCACAGGCCTCGGCAAAGAAAGCAATGGCAGACGACTCTGACTCTGACGAGGGCGTGGGCAGGGGTGGTGGCCAAGAGTGAGTATCTCATGAAATCTGTCAATGTTTTCAATCAATCGATTTTCCTCTTGCCGCTATACTTTCATTCTATAGTGGAGCCGTGGCTAACTGGCTGACTCTCTCTATTCAGCACCAGCTTCATGTCGGACTTTGACGTGATGCTGGCTCGTAAGAAGGCCCAGAGCGGGAAGCGACGACGGAACCGCGACGGGGGAACGTTCATAAGTGACGCTGACGACGTGGTCAGCGCCATGATCACCAAGATGACAGAAGCTGCAGAGGTGACATTCTGGCCCCAAACTGTGTGTGTGTGTGTTCTGTCATAGGTCTTCAATGCGGGTGTGGGTGTACCATTCTAACGGTGTGATTTACAGGAGGACAGAACACTGAACGCTCAGAAGAAGCCAGCCTTAAAAAAGCTGACCCTCCTCCCCACTGTCGTTATGCACCTGAAGAAGTGAGTCCATCCATGGCTCTCAATACTACCACAAGCATAGTCTATATACACCGAGTGCTCTTTCCATGATATAGACTGACCAGGTGAAAGCTATGATCCCTTATTGATGTCACTTGTTAAATCCACTTCAATCAGTGTGGATGAAGGGGAGGAGACGGGTTAAAGAAGGATTTATAAGCATTTAGACAATTGAGACATGGATTGTGTATGTGTGCCATTGAGGGTGAATGGGAAAGACAAAATATGTAAGTGCCTTTGAACAGGGTATGGTAGTAAGTTCCAGGTGCACCGGAACATCATCCTAATATTCAGTTGCACCTACTTTTTTCCCTCAGAACAGCTTCAATTCGTCGGGCATGAACTCTATAAGGTGTCGAAAGCGTTCCACAGGGATGCTGACCCATGTTGACTCCAATGCTTCCCACAGTTGTTAAGTTTGCTGGATGTCCTTTGGGTGGTGGACCATTCTTGATACACACGGTTTAAGCGTGAAAAACCAAGCAGCGTTGCAGTTCTTGACACACAAACCGTTCAACCTGGAACCTACTACCAAACCCTGTTCAAAGGCACTTCAATCTTTTTTTTTGCCCATTCACCCTCTGAATGGCACACATACACAATTAGGGCTGTGGCGGTCACGAAATTTCGTCACAAGCTACTGATGCAGACCTTTGGAACATCTACATTTTAAAAAGTCTAATAAATCCATGTAATATAGCCTACACCTTCACAATACATCCATTATTTATTTTAGACAGGTCTAAATAAACATGATATGAAGAAAATGTATTCTATTTCAGAAGAACAGAATAGCATACTCTGAGTTGTCCTTATGTTAGGTCCTGATCCGGCTATGACAAATGGCTGTGGGCTACACTAGTTCATTTAGCAGACAAGATTTGCTTAGAATTCCGTGGCATTATTTTATAGTATGAAGAATGCAATTGAACAAAGCTGAATAAAATAAAATTCTCCAAACAATTTGAGGGAGTTCGCACATGCAGCTATTCTGTGTTGAGCGGTTAACAAAGAAAAAGGTACTCCTATATGCTTAATTTAGAGTTATTAATGTCACTTTAGTTGTTCTACAAACGTTGGACTATATGCAGTGCTTAATTTGTAAATAGGGAGGTCCCGGAACACATAGTCAAACACAACGTAGCAGCGCAGAAGTCAGAGTAAACAGACTACTATCTATGGTGGTGAAACGGACAGCGCTCTCCAAGGAGCCTACTATCTATGGTGGTGAAACGGACAGCACTCTCCAAGTAGCCTACTATCTATGGTGGTGAAACGGACAGCGCTCTCCAAGTAGTCTACTATCTATGGTGGTGAAACGGACAGCACTCTCCAAGTAGCCTACTATCTATGGTGGTGAAACGGACAGCACTCTCCAAGTAGCCTACTATCTATGGTGGTGAAACGGACAGCACTCTCCCAGTAGCCTACTGTCTATGGTGGTGAAACGGACAGCGCTCTCCAAGTAGCCTACTGTCTATGGTGGTGAAACGGACAGCACTCTCCAAGTAGCCTACTGTCTATGGTGGTGAAACGGACAGCCCTCTCCAAGTAGCCTACTATCTATGGTGGTGAAACGGACAGCGCTCTCCAAGTAGCCTACTGTCTATGGTGGTGAAACGGACAGCGCTCTCCAAGTAGCCTACTGTCTATGGTGGTGAAACGGACAGCCCTCTCCCAGTAGCCTACTATCTATGGTGGTGAAACGGACAGCACTCTCCAAGTAGCCTACTGTCTATGGTGGTGAAATGGACAGCACTCTCCAAGTAGCCTACTGTCTATGGTGGTGAAACGGACAGCACTCTCCAAGTAGCCTACTATCTATGGTGGTGAAACGGACAGCGCTCTCCAAGTAGCCTACTATCTATGGTGGTGAAACGGACAGCGCTCTCCAAGTAGCCTACTATCTATGGTGGTGAAACGGACAGCGCTCTCCAAGTAGCCTACTATCTATGGTGGTGAAACGGACAGCGCTCTCCAAGTAGCCTACTATCTATGGTGGTGAAACGGACAGCGCTCTCCAAGTAGCCTACTGTCTATGGTGGTGAAACGGACAGCACTCTCCAAGTAGCCTACTATCTATGGTGGTGAAACGGACAGCACTCTCCAAGTAGCCTACTGTCTATGGTGGTGAAACGGACAGCACTCTCCAAGTAGCCTACTGTCTATGGTGGTGAAACGGACAGCCCTCTCCAAGTAGCCTACTATCTATGGTGGTGAAACGGACAGCGCTCTCCAAGTAGCCTACTATCTATGGTGGTGAAACGGACAGCCCTCTCCAAGTAGCCTACTATCTATGGTGGTGAAACGGACAGCACTCTCCAAGTAGCCTACTATCTATGGTGGTGAAACGGACAGCACTCTCCAAGTAGTCTACTATCTATGGTGGTGAAACGGACAGCACTCTCCAAGTAGCCTACTATCTATGGTGGTGAAACGGACAGCGCTCTCCAAGTAGCCTGCTATCTATGGTGGTGAAACAGACAGCACTCTCCAAGTAGCCTACTATCTATGGTGGTGAAACGGACAGCACTCTCCAAGTAGCCTACTATCTATGGTGGTGAAACGGACAGCACTTCCCAAGGTGTTGATTCATTCAAAGCATTTTAGACATCACTGCAGTATGCCCACATACTTGAGCATAGCTGCGGGGCTTACGCAAGTCGGAATTTCTTATAGCCTAATTAGACATCAATGTACAGCAACATTTTTAGACGACACTGCAGAACACCCGCCATATGCACACATACTCAGCTGTGGGGTTTACAAGACCTGAATTTCATATGATTTTCAAGACATCAATTTAGCAGTAGAAAAATATCAAGATATCGGAATATAACTTAAAATAAAATAAATCAATGTAGGCTATAGTAGGACACACATGAGAATATATAGGCCTCCTGCCTATGTGATAATATGAAGCACATATTCAGATTACCTTCACAGTACAGAACAAGTTTGTAAAGGAAGGAAAATGTCCTGCCTTAGTTTTCAACACCTCCCACAATGACTTTCCCCATGTCAAGTCCCTTTAACTCCTGAGAGTCAATTTCTAGCTCAAAGCCATGCGTGAGCCTGTGGCTGTGATGTTTAGCATCCTAAGGCTGTTCTGAAGACTGGCTGTAGTGTCTATTTTTTCCATTTAGAGTGTTAACGATAACCTGGACGTCCTCTTTAGCCTTGTCTACAAGGCTTGCTGCCACCAAATGCGCCTTGGTTCGGGCATGTTCAAAAACCTTTTTTCTGAGGGCTCTTTGTTTTTTTTACGTCTGAGGCATAGGATGTTAACTTACTGTACATTCCACCCACTCTTTTGCTAGTTTAATCCCTCCAGTCGTTTCTAGACCCAAGCTCCCTATCTTTTTGCATGTTGTACAGCCCAACTTTGAATTCTGCATGACAAGCCAGGGGTTATACGTTTGCTTGTTCTTGAACTGCAAATTGCACCTGCTCCAAGCACTTCATCGGTGGATGCACTGCTTCCCTCCCCCCCAGCTCCCTGTCTCCCGCTGAGTCTGACTAGCTAGTAGGCCTACTAGCTAGTGGAGGTGCCGGTGGTGATGCTGAACTGGCGGGATTAGCAGCGCTGCTAGCTAAGAGGCATTGCCATCAGGAACAGTTTGCCCCTCACTCCTCTCCTCCGGCACTGACAGTTCTCTGGCTCGTTCTGGGTTCAATTCAACCTCTTTCTCTGGATTTCTGGACTTGAGAAATGTCTTCGAACTCGATTGCCTTTTCTTATCCATTTTTTATTTGGCTTTCCCACGATTCAAATTCAGTAGGGAGACGACAAGCCTAGACGACGTGACGTGATTACGTAGGGTCCTCCTCACTAGCTGACCACCACTACCAAGACCTGTGTCAAGATCAGTTGCTTACAACACCGGCCCTCCCCATAACCTCTATGTACAAATAAGAGCGCAGGTCTGGAATCAGTGTGGCAGGATAGGATGATTACACAGAAGGATCACAGCGCTTTTACATGATGGTCTTTCTGGGGAGAAATAACGAGGCGACAACTTGATTTAACGCTGATCACTTTTATTCAACTGTCTACAGTGCGAACAGTGAAACGATTAATAAATCATGCTGCGAGAGGTACCGGATCCGGGCAAATAGGTGGCGGAACAAACAAAGTAAAATCTGAGAGGTGCTGGATCCTGTTACGGCACCTCTCAACACTGGCTATATGTTTTGATTTTTAATACATTGTAAGGCTGCATGATGCGATTCTAATGATGATTTGAAAAAAAGTTGCTTGAAAGGCTTGAGCCCTGCTTAGTTTTAGTCTCTCATTAACACTTTGACAAGCACTTGATAATGCCTGGAATTTCACGGCGGCATCCCCTTTGTGGCTGTAATGCACCCTAAAAAAATCCATGCCTTTTGCGGCCAGTGGCCGTTGTGCCCTGAGTGCTGAGCATGCCGAATCACCTCACTCACATGGCTCTCCATCACGTGATCGGGTCTTTCTCACAGGCTACAAGTGAAGGCAGACACATCGGGGATGCAACTGCGCGTGTCCTTATCCAATTCCGAGGTGCATATTGAAGATATTGGAAGAACTGTCCACATTGACTTTTCGTCAGCCAACAAGATGAGCAGGCCTAACGAACAGCAAAAGCACTAGCCTATGTCAATCTACTATCCCCCATTAGTAAAAATAAAAAAAAAGTTGAACTATTCTGTGCGAGAAAAAATTATTCAAAACATAGTCTGGGACAGTTGTGGAATGCAATAGATCCCAATTTAATACAACCACTAGCATCAAAAAACGTTTACGCAATGTGCCTGACGCAACAGATCAGACCATTTAGCTTAAAATAATGATAAATTAGGCTATTTCTTCACATTATAAGCGCAGCAATGCGCACATGAAAGTAGGCTATAACCGGGAATGTTCCATTAGCGGGAAAACACCATTATCAAAAGTGACCACAAATGCGATTATGCATGAAATGCTTTTATTATAAAAGTGCATTTTTATGGTGACAATTATCTTCCCCAAACTTGAAACTCACTCGCTACTTATGTATGCCGGTTAGGCTCTAAACCCCTTGTAAAGCGGATTAATGTGCTTAATTTTAAGAAGTTATTTGGCCACTTTAGTTGTGATACAAACCTTATCAAAACATATAGGCCTATGGGCTAGGCTACATGAGGTGTGCGACTGATTAGAAAAAGTTGCCCAAAAAATGGCAGTTTCTTATGCTGGGCATCATTCACAAGTGATAATGTATAGTTCACAAGTGATAGGCTAATATTGTCACCCCATCACACTATTCTTGATTTAATATTGTCTTTACATATACTAAGTAATATATGTGTGAAATTTGTTTTGATTTAGAATGGACCATTATTATGCACCTGTCTTGAAGCAGGGGCAGGGGAAAAATACATGTAATCTATGCACTTAAATAGCGAATGGAGGACGCTTTTCCCGTGGTTCATTTTCATGCCAGCCAGGTAGCCTATACTCCTGTTGTAAAGCGAAACAATGCACTTAATATTAGGAAAGTTGAAAAATAAATATAGTAGGCCTAGCCTATAGAAAGCTGATGGGATCCTCCTCTTTTTAGTAGAGGCCATCACTCTGTTTTCTCACGCAATTGCATAGCCTATAGAAATGTTGCGCAACATGAGCTCATGGGCTCTCATTAAGTGTTTGATTAGATTTTTTAACAAATTTGCATTGATGTCAGAGTGATTAGAGGGACAATAGAGTGCTGAGAACCAGGCAGTTAACAAGTTTGGTAGGCTACTAATGACCATCAGCGGCATCAGAGCTTTGAGAAGCCTAATTACCGTGAATAAACGGCCACGTGGAATTTGACTGCATTCATGACTCGTGACTGCCGGTTTGGGTGTAATACGGTCACCCTATACACAATCCATGTCTCAATTGTCTCAAGGCTTAAAAATCCTTCTTTAACCTGTCTCCTCCCCGTCATCTACACTGATTTGAAGTGGATTTAACAAGTGACATCAATAAGGGATCATAGCTTTCACCTGGTCAGTCTATATCATGGAAACAGCAAGTGTTCCTAATGTTTTGTATGCTGTGTGTGTATATGTGTGTACAGTACCAGTCAAAAGTTTGGACACCTACTCATTCCAGGGTTTTTCTTTATTTTTACTATTTTCTACATTGTAGAAAAATAGTGAAGACATCAAAACTATGAAATAACACATATGGAATCATGTAGTAACCAAAAAAGTGTTAAACAAATCCAAATATATGTTATATTTGAGATTCTTCAAAGTAGCCACCCTTTGCCTTGATGACATCTTTGCACACTCTTGGCATTCTCTCAACCAGCTTCATGAGGTAGTCACCTGGAATGAATTTCAATTCAGCCAATCAGTTGTGTTGGGGGGGTATACAGAGATAGCCCTATTTGGTAAAAGACCAAGTCCATATTATGGCAAGAACCGCTCAAATAAGCAAAGAGAAACAACAGTCCATCATTATTTCTAGACATGAAGGTCAGTCAATACGGAAAATGTCAAGAACTTTGAAAGTTTCTTCAAGTGCAGTCGCAAAAACCATCAAGCGCTATGATGAAACTGGCTCTCATGAGGACCGCCACAGGAATGGAAGACCCAGAGATACCTCTGCTGCAGAGGATACGTTCATCAGTTACCAGCCTCAGAAATTGCAGCCCAAATAAATGCTTCACAGAGTTCAAGTAACAGACTCATCTCAACATCAACTGTTCAGAGGAGACTGCGTGAATCAGGCCTTCATGGTCGAATTGCTGCAAAGAAACCACTACTAAAGGACACCAATAAGAAGAGACTTGCTTGGGCCAAGAAACACGAGCAATGGACATTAGACCGGTTGAAATGTGTCCTTTGGTCTGGAGTCCAAATTTGATATTTTTGGTTCCAACCGCCATGGCTTTGTGAGACACAGTGTGGGTGAACGGATGATCTCTGCATGTGTATTTCCCACCGTAAAGAATGGAGGAGATGGTGTGGGGGTGCTTTTCTACAAAGGGGACAGGATGACTGCACCGTATTGAGGGGAGGATGGATGGGGCCATGTATCGCGAGATCTTGGCCAACAACCTCCTTCCCTCAGTAAGAGCATTGAAGATGGGTCGTGGCTGGGTCTTCCAGCATGACAACGACCCAAAACACACAGCCAGGGCAACTAAGGAGTGGCTCCGTAAGAAGCATCTCAAGGTCCTGGAGTGGCCTAGCCAGTCTCCAGACCTGAACCCAATAGAAAATCTTTGGAGGGAGCTGAATGTCCGTATTGCCCAGCGACAGCCCCGAAACCTGAAGGATCTGGAGAAGGTCTGTATGGAGGAGTGGGCCAAAATCCCTGCTGCAGTGTGTGCAAACATGGCCAAGACCTACAGGAAACGTATGATCTCTGTAATTGCAAACAAAGGTTTCTGTACCAAATATTAAGTTCTGCTTTTCTGATGTATCAAATACTTATGTCATGCAATAAAATGCAAATTAATTACTTAAAAATCATACAATGTGATTTTCTGGATTTTCCGTCTCACAGTTGAAGTGTACCTATGATAAAAATTACAGACCTCTACATGCTTTGTAAGTAGGAAAACCTGCAAAATCGGCAGTGTATCAAATACTTGTTCTCCCCACTGTATATGGTCTGATGTGTGTGTGTGTGTGTGTGTGTGTTCAGGCAAGACCTCAAGGAGACATTCATCGACAGTGGGGTGATGTCGGCCATCAAGGAGTGGATCGGCCCGCTGCCAGACAAGAGTCTCCCGGCCCTTAAAATCAGAGAGGATCTCCTCAAAATCCTACAGGAGGTAAATGCTTGGGATTGCATTTCCGCCGACTCCCCCTGAAACGTCACCATGGTTTTGAATCTTGATAAAGAACTGTGTTTTCATATGGTTTTCGGTTCTCCCCCCAGCTCCCCAGTGTGAGTCAGGAGACTCTCAAACACAGCGGGATTGGCCGAGCCGTCATGTTCCTCTACAAACACCCCAAGGAGTCGCGCCCCAACAAGGACCTCGCCCTCAAACTCATCAGTAAGTGCCTACATATCTGCGCTCAAAAACATAAAATGTCAATTCAGTAATGTGGGTTTTGCTGACGTAATAGCTGACCAAGTATTGTCTGACTCTGAGAAGGAATTATGTTATTAAAGGGATCTCATTTTCACTCACCTGTTTCATAGTGTTGTTTTTTAGCAAGTTCCAGTGGCTTCGAACGAGCATGTAGCAATAGAACACGGTCCCTCTGTAGAGGTGAATAGTGTATGGGTGTTGGGGATATTGGTAGAGTATTAGTATTGATAGTGGGTATTGATACGTGCCGTGTCTGTACAGATGAGTGGTCCCGCCCCATCTTTGGCCTGACGTCCAACTACAAGGGCATGACACGCGAGGAGAGACAACAGAGAGACCTGGACCAGCAGATTCCGCAAAAAAGACTCCTCAGGTAAAAGTGTGCACACACCCCCCAGGGTTTCCGTTAGGAAAATGTGGCGCCAGACAACGTGACCGGGAAGATATTTTATTTACCGGCCATTTGGTAAATTTACCGGACCTATACGCATTATGCGCATAACCTATTAGGGCCTCCACCCAAGGTGCTCAGAAGGATGGAAATCACATTTAGATTATGGCAACTCATGTAATGAAGTGGCCAATAAAACGTCATTTTCAAACATTTATCAAAATGCAATTCGCGGGAAAACGCCATTCTAAATAGCGCACCTGATAGCAGTTCCATATGTGACAGAGATTAACATCTCTGTTAGAAACTTAGAAAGAGGGAGAATCTAAAGGTGCAACTAGGATGGTTGCTAATATGACTAGGATTGTGCCTTTTGGCTTCTGGACAACAAAAGAAAGTTGATATGAAAACCAATAGAACAGGAGAGAAACGGCATAGCGGTGGGTCCAAAAGGGAAGTAAAGGGAAATACATTTTCCAAAATTATATACTTACTCCGGTCTATACAGAAATAAATAAAATACTTCACCAGAAAGCATGACTTAGCCACAGAGGTATCAAGGCTAATTAGCATATATAAAAAAAATAGCTGTGGCTTGTTTCAAATCACCTATTTGGGAAGACTGCAATTTGGGCAGCGCACGTGGCAATAGGCCTAGCTGATTATTGAGTTGCAGCTGTCAGTGAAAAGCATCTAAAATATGTGTGAAGGTAATGTGTCTAGAGTATAATTTAAAATGTTGAGACCGGAAGAAGGGGAGGAGTGTGTGTGGCGATTGTTTCATTGTGTGAATTGTTTGCCCTTTTAATTTTTTTTGATCAATTCCTGATTTACATATGTCACCAGTAGTAAATGTACCCTTAATCTCCATCATTTGGTTACATTAATTTCTGTTAATACATGTATTAATTTGTCATTTACGGTTTCTTTAGCCGCCAATGGATCACGGTGTATCAATATGTCCATATGGCAGAGGCTGGTGATCTCGCATTAGTTGACTTTTAACTTTCAGATTTGTGTAATTTTTATTCAGATTTTTTTGATTAACCACGTGACAATGCTTTTTAGAAACGAAAATATTATTATTGAAATGTTCCACAAAAATGTGCCTATGAAAATCATAACTAGCATGCAGAACGGTAGAAATGGTAGGATAAATTGTCCCCAAACTTGAAACTCACGCGGTGCCTATGAAGTCTTTATAAAATCATTTCCTCCACGTTTACATGGTTGGATTTTGCCTATAGGCTACTTTGAAGCAAGGTAAGTCATGCCTCATAATATGTAATAAAACATTCAGGTTTCAAACAATTAATTAAGTATGTTTTCAAAATGCGTACTGCCTCCAGCTCACATTGTAAAGTGGTGTGTGACGCACTGATAGCCTGTTGCCTGCACTTGAATGGTGAATGGAAGGCATGCTTCAATTACCAGTTGAGAAAAAATAGTAGCGCCTTTCAATCGTGCACCAACACAGTTTTTAACTGGATTTTGAATTGTTGCACAATGAATGGGCTTATAAAAGCACATGTTTTACTCCAGCTGAGGAGCTGCAGGAGAAATCCCGCTCAAAATAGGCTGTGTGTGTGTGATAGTTGTGTTGCATAAATAAAATACATGATGACTAACGAAAATACACACAGGCCAATTTAATTCCACTAAATTATGCAAATTAACCTATAGGCCGATAAGCATTATAGTCAAATCTATTTCCATCAATGAATAAAAAGCATTATTTTACAATAGGATTTTTTTTCCCCTGGTGATTTTTATCACCGTAATTTTTTTTCGCGGCCAAAAGCCGACATTTGCCGTCTAATGGAAACCCTGACACACACTTTATACACTGCTCAAAAAAATAAAGGGAACACTAAAATAGCACATCCTAGATCTGAATGAATGAAATAATCTTATTAAATACTTTTTTCTTTACATAGTTGAATGTGCTGACAACAAAATCACACAAAAATTATCAATGGAGATCAAATGTATCAACTCATGGAGGTCTGGATTTGGAGTCACCCTCAAAATTAAAGTGGAAAACCACACTACAGGCTGATCCAACTTTGATGTAATGTCCTTAAAACAAGTCAAAATTAGGCTCAGTAGTGTGTGTGGCCTCCACGTGCCTGTATGACCTCCCTACAACGCCTGGGCATGCTCCTGATGAGGTGGCGGATGGTCTCCTGAGGGATCTCCTCCCAGACCTGGACTAAAGCATCCGCCAACTCCTAGACAGTCTGTGGTGCAACGTGGCGTTGGTGGATGGAGCGAGAGATGATGTCACGGATGTGCTCAATTGGATTCAGGTCTGGGGAATGGGCGGGCCAGTCCATAGCATCAATGCCTTCCTCTTGCAGGAACTGCTGACACACTCCAGCCACATGAGGTCTAGCATTGTTTTGCATTAGGAGGAACCCAGGGCCAACCGCACCAGCATATGGTCTCACAAGGGGTCTGAGGATCTCATCTCGGTACCTAATGGCAGTCAGGCTACCTCTGGCGAGCACATGGAGGGCTGTGCGGCCCCCCAAAGAAATGCCACCCCACACCATGACTGACCCACCGCCAAACCGGTCATGCTGGAGGATGTTGCAGGCAGCAGAACGTTCTCCACGGCGTCTCCAGACTCTGTCACGTCTGTCACATGTGCTCAGTGTGAACCTGCTTTCATCTGTGAAGAGCACAGGGCGCCAGTGGCGAATTTGCCAATCTTGGTGTTCTCTGGCAAATGCCAAACGTCCTGCACGGTGTTGGGCTGTAAGCACAACCCCCACCTGTGGACATCATTTTGCAGGGCTCTGGCAGTGCTCCTCCTGCTCCTCCTTGCACAAAGGCGGAGGTAGCAGTCCTGCTACTGGGTTGTTGCCCTCCTACGGCCTCCTCCACGTCTCCTGATGTACTGGCCTGTCTCCTGGTAGCGCCTCCATGCTCTGGACACTACGCTGACAGGCACAGCAAACCTTCTTGCCACAGCTCGCATTGATGTGCCATCCTGGATGAGCTGCACTACCTGAGCCACTTGTGTGGGTTGTAGACTCCGTCTCATGCTACCACTAGAGTGAAAGCACCGCCAGCATTCAAAAGTGACCAAAACATCAGCCAGGAAGCATAGGAACTGAGAAGTGGTCTGTGGTCACCACCTGCAAAACCAGTCCTTTATTGGGGGTGTCTTGCTAATTGCCTATAATTTCCACCTGTTGTCTATTCCATTTGCACAACAGCATGTGAAATGTATTGTCAATCAGTGTTGCTTCCTAAGTGGACAGTTTGATTTCACAGAAGTGTGATTGACTTGGAGTTGCATTGTGTTGTTTAAGTGTTCCCTTTATTTTTTGAGCAGTGTACAATATACCCCTTAAACACACGTACGCAGTTGTCTCACATTATCACTGTAGACATGAGCTGTTCACTCCAACCAACCAACCCCCCACCCCCACCCTTTCCAGCTCATTGTCCCACTGACCTATCAAATCCTCCTGCCTGTCCTCCATTCATCCACTTTTCAGTCCTCACTCTCCTCCTTTCACTGTGTCACTCTCCTCATGTTTGTCAAATTCCCCTCTCTCTCCATGACACCTGTCTATACTTCCCGACGTGGTCCCCCTTCCTCCTCCCCCCCCCCCCCTCAGTCAGCCCCAAAAGGTGGAGAGGTCCAAGGAACCGGATGTCTTCTCCCCGCAGCAACTCAGGTTCAGTGTGGTTGCATGGGTGCTCCGCCTCCCGAGTGACTGGCTGCAGTCAGATTTTCAACCCCCCAGGTTGTTACGCTTGGTGATGTTTTTTCTCCCCCAGAGACAATGAGACAGTTGTTGGTATGAATGATAGGAAAGAGTCAGATTGAGCCTAGAGTTACTGAGGCTTTGTTGTGTGAGTATGGCTTAATTTTGAGGTTTTGTTAATTTTGTTTGGGGTTCGAAAAGCTACTTTGCACGTGTATTGTTTGTGTGGGAGATTCTCTCCATTTTCACCATGTTGGATCAGTGTTTGCTGTTGTAACTCTTACCCTGTCTGTCAGAAGCTAAAACGCATCACTGGGCCAGGGCTTTGATCTTGGCATAAAGCAGAGTATAGCTATGGATCTCTTCCTCAGTTAGCAGTGAAGGCTGTCTGGCCATTTGCCCTCCCGCTGACCTTTTAACCCTACCTTATGTGAAATTCATGCCTTGCTCTTTCTCTTTCCAGCTGTGGAATAAACGTCTAGTTTTTTGGGGGGTGTTTAGTGTTTCTTAATATAGCCTATATGTAGCCTGTACGTTTTGTTTGGGTGTGCATCATGTTTTGATAGTTCAATGCTGTATTGATGCACGGTTATGTTAGGACCTAAAGAACTGAGTCAGTTCAGGCAGCACACGAGTGACATTCAGAGTAATTTTGCTATAGGCTATTTCATTAAATGTTATATACAGAACTCAAGAGTAATGTACTCTAGACAGAACAGAGAATTCCACCAAAGCAGGGCAAAATGTCCTGTCAGAAAATATTGTTGCTCTCCCTCTCTGGTGCATGGGCCTTGTATCCTAAACCTATTCATTTGTTTTATAATGGACAATTCCTAACTCTCTTGTGTTTAGCTATATTCCATTCATATTCCATTCGATAGGCTTTGAATATGACGTTTGGCCACGCTCAAACAATGAATTCCATCAAAAACAAAGTTGTTTGAATAGCCTAAAAATGTAGGGTAGCCAGGGGACTAATAATAAGAGAGAACAAACAAAATCTATAGCCTTTAGAACATTTTTATGACGAGTTTAATCAATTTTAAGCTTATTAAGAAATAATGTATCTGTGCGGGGCAGAAAAACCCTGGCCGTCAATGCGAGGTTGAAAACCAAATGGCCAATAACCTTTCCTCCTACTAGGCCTATCATAAAGGCTTTAAGACATGTTACAATTATAAACAGCCTATTTCCTGAATATTCTAATAGCCTAAGAAGGTGTTGTCCTAAAGTTGCCACTTTCAAAAATGAAAGTTGGAGTATAGGCCGTAGGCATTGGCTATTCCTAATCACAGCTTTATGAGATATAGAACAAACAATATAAGTCAAATAGGCCTAAAGCTATTATTATGAAGTTCTGAAGACCGTAGACTGCCCAGCCTATGATTTATAACTCACTACGGTAACACAGCCCGTTTGACTGACACTTTGCTCCATCATGGCATGCGCCACACAGATGCAAATACCTGTTCCACGCTGAAGCTCCACCAGAAAGGAATATTATAAAATATTTCCCTGCACTTAGCAGCTACCCAGGCTTTCAATAACATTATATTTTGTCTTGATTCGTCCAGTTGTAGCATGCGATTTCGCGCTATAGCCCAACGGTGGTGTTAGAGTTTCGTTATCTAAAAGGTTTTGAGAAGTCAATGCGAGAAGTGAAAAATTCTTCCCTAGTTAATTTTCTCGAAATCTAAAGGCACAACCTAGATTCAACCGAATGTCTTAAGTAGTTGAACGTGTTATTACTCCAACCTCATGGAATTGACAAAATGACACGTTACATTTTTTCTCAAAAACTATTTTAAATCGAACGAGTGCCTTTGATTTGACACGATGCACATGCGCAATTCGCCGCGAGACGACATTTTAGACCCGATGACGTGTTTCTGCGCATGAGCTTAGCTAGCCAACGTTGCCATGACATCGCCTACAAGTGTGATCTGGGATTTTGATTGAAGAAGCAGTTTCTACCTATCTTTATACTGTACTGTCTTTGCTACTACTCTCAAACTCTAACCTTTGAGAACAGGAACGTGGCAGTAACGGCATGTGTTAAGACTTAAGACCAGTGTGCAGAGTGCTAGCTGCACCCTTACTGTTAGTAAATTGTGTGTGGCCAGGTCAGTCAGTATGTCAACTCTCTCGCTCTCCTTCTCTCGCTCTACAGCTCAGGGGGACAGACTCCTCATAGAGACCTGGAGAAAGTACTGACAGGAGAAGAGAAGTGAGTAGCTGTGCCTTGGGTGTTCCCATGTTGTGTGTGTCTGAGTCCTTTGTCTGTCTGTCTTGAGTCAGTGTGTGTTGCTTTCAGCTGACACCCCTCCTGTGTGTGCTGACCCACAGAGCTCTGCGCCCAGGAGACCCTGGGTTCTGTGCCCGGGCCAGGGTGCCCATGCCATCCAACAAGGACTACGTTGTGCGGCCCAAATGGAACGTGGAGAGCGAGTCAAGAGCAGTGAGTGTTTGCCTGTCCATCTGTCTGCCTGGGAGAAGGGAGGAGAAAGTGCCCCTGGTGGTTTTCCATTTATTTTAACTGCAGAGCAGACCAATTATTTTCTCATCACACCTGAAATCCTGGATTCCGGACATAACCATTTCTAGGTCATTTTAGCTAAGTTAACTTAGGTGTGACTGTGAACTGGGTTTCAACTGTAGCTTTCAGATGTTTTGTCACTACATGACGTGGGCATCAGTAAGAGAAGGACGGTAAGGAGCTGAATGTGATTGGTTCCTGACTGCAGACCGACTTTAAGAAAGGGATAAGCCGATTGGAAAAGCACAAGCGTCGCATTGCCCAGCAGAGGTCACAGCGGCGCATCATGGCGGTGAAGATCAACGTGGACGGCAATGGCATGCCACTGTAGTACCTACTGTCACCACACGGGGCAGTAAGTGCCACCTGCATGTCTCTTGCTGGTCCTGGGTAGGACAAAGTTGCACAGAGACACTGATCTTAGGTCAGTTAATGGTTACCCCCACTAATGGTGAAGGTTGGGAATGAGAGAGGATAAGCTGATTGTAGGTCAGTGCCTGAGGGCAACTTCTACCCAGGGCCACTGTGTGCAGTGTGGACTGGAGAGCAACCCTCCCACCACTTACCAAGTCAAACGGCTCTGCAAGCTGTTGCCCAGCCACCTAATAATTAAATGAGTCCCCTGGTTTTAAGACATTAGGCTATACCAGCATGTCGCTTGAGTTTCTGTGTCTGGCATGATGGGAATGTGTTACTATTCAACTTGGTGTTCAGAGTTTGTTTAAATACTAGGGTTACGAAACTTAATGCACTCTATCAGATACGCTGTTGAAATATCAGATCGGCAGAACATTCCAAATTTGATGATTACAAAAAGTGTGTTTGTGTGTCTTGGTAACCTCGCTCGCTAGGCTTATAGTGGTACTACCGTATGTTACCACTACGGCAAACATATTGTGGCGAAGAAACACTGTTTTGGTGAGTAGTTTCACTTTCCTGTCCCCCCTTCTCTAATCCTTTCCTCCCTCTGTCTCCAAGGCCCCGGTTAAGAAGGGCATGTCACGGGTGGACAAACAGTTGCGTCGCTTCGCCGACATCAAGCGTATGACGAAGACGGGCCACGCTGTGAAAATCAGCGTCCAGGGCAACCGGATGCCCCTCTGATTTTTTTAAAAACTTCTGTCTCCCCCCCCTCCCCTTTTTAATATGTTGCTCCTATACCATGGTCCCCGTTCAAATTCTTTATCCTCCTTCCTTCCTTTCTTGAAGTGATTGGCTACTAAGCTGACAGTTGGCCAGGTGAAAGCATAGGTTTCAATACATAGCTTTTACTGATCCAGTAATATCAGAGCTGTGAATATTCCAAGGAAGGGAGGATAGAATGCAATGATTTAAATCATTTGATTAGGGCCGGGGTCCCAGTTCTGTGTGCTTTAGCCAACTCCTCTAACTAGCATGACAATGGTCAGAGGAGTTGGCTAAAGCACATGCAGGTGGGACTATTCTATCACCCCTTATACAAACCCCCTCAGTCCAGCCCCAATGTATGATAGTGGTGTGGCTTCACAGGCTGGTTGGCCTTCGGTCCTCTAGACTTTGGGATCGATTCAATACGGAGTGTGGAACATTCGCGTTATAGCGTGATTGAAATGTTAAGGTCATTTCCATTGAGCAGACATGCAACGTTTACCGAACATTGCCCTTAAATTTCAATCGCTCTATAGCGTTGTTCTTCCGCACCCCATATTGAATATAAGTTAGGCCTTTACTTTGTTTCTGAAGAAGCTGTACAGATGTAGGAACTGACTGTGTGTGTGTCTTCAGTGTTGCTGGTTGGTTCTGAAGTTACTTTCGTAATAAAGAGGGTTTCACCAGATCTCTTGATTTCTCTTCATCTTTATTTGAGAAAGGTTACCTATGGGCTTGAACTAGATTCATCTCAAATCTCATTTCACCACTTTGTCTTAAAAACATGACGCATTGATTTGAGTGAACTATCACTTTAATGCACACTGAAATAATTCAAACAACTTATTGCTAGTGGCAAACTTATGTACTTTCAAGTTAAGTTTCAGTTTCAATACAATTTCATGAAACACCCCAATAGACTCAATTTAACAGTCCTAAAACTTGAAGCTTTGCATGACTTAGGGGGAATTTTTTTTTAATGGTCAGGGAAACTGATAAAGTGCTCTTAGAACCAAATCTGACCTGATTAATACAGTTTAATACAGTTTGGTAAATTCTTTGGTAACTTGTAATATGTTATTCACAATCAAATGAAAGATAAGGTTACTGTTTGAACCTCTCATCATGACCAAAGCATCAGGGTCAGTGATGTAAAACAGTCAGACCATTACAGATAGAAATGCAATGAATAGAGCTGACATGATTCCCAATTATACATCATGACAGAAAATGCATTTAAAATGCAGTTATCTGAACGCTCTGTTACATTGTATCCTGAACTGACCCCAGGTGCAACTCATAATCCATAACTCGGGCCTTTCTGTATATCTGAAAGGATTGGATAGGTGTACCCTATATGGTGAAAATTCCTCCTAAAATTCCTTCTCAGGTCAATTACAAACTATTACTGTTTTGCTAATACCTATCAGATCAAATCTACATAAAATGGTTAAGGGCTAGGGTTTGACTTGGAATTCATCATCGGCCACTCCCAATTTGTTCCTTACCCTTGTCCCCAACCCATCGATCTTTGCAGGTGTGTAAGCAATATGGTAGAAGCTCCACCACTTAACTGCTAGCACCTATCCAGATGATCAGAGCTGCAATCATCGAAGGGCCAAGGTGTAGGGAATGAATTGGGATTGTCTCCGAGCTGCACCTCAGGTATGTGTACTGTTATGCACCTGCCTTTTCTATAGTATCCTGTATCCAGTGCAGGTAGTTCCCTAGCCGGGTGTAGACACCATACTTCCCCTTGGCGGCACACTTCTCCCCCCAGCTCACCACCCCTGTGAGGAACCAGGTCCCGCGGTAGTTGACCACAAAGGGACCCCCGCTGTCCCCACTGCAGGCATCCATGCTGGCCTCCAGGTAGCCTGCGCAGAACATGTTGTCCGTGATGACCTGCTCTGTGGAGAGGATGCACTTTTGCTGGTCGACCACGGGCATAGCGACTTTCCTCAGGAAGCGTGAGGAGCGCCCCAGGTACTGTGTGGCGCCCCAGCCTGTGACTATGCCCCTCACATCCTCCCGCTGGAGGTGGTGGGCCAGCTGACTATTGGGAAGGCAGGCGGGCACCGCCACGGGGCTCAGCACCACAGGGGCAGAGAGGTAGACGAGAGCAATGTCGCTATCGAAGGTGTAGTCGTGGAAGTGAGGGTGGACGACGACCTTTGCCACTTTGATATTCTGCTCGTCCGGGTCGGGACGCTGCTTGTCATAGTCCCCTGTAAAACAGACAGTTTAAACAGGCACAGTGGATCATCAACATGTTGCACTCAATAAAAACTGCTAGAGCATTTGACAGTATGCTCACTACTTCTAAAGAGTGGATCACATAGCCTCACCGATAGTCACATGGTCAGGGGTTTCCTGCATGCAGTGTGCAGCAGTGACCACCCAGCGCTGACTGATCAGAGTTCCCCCACAGAAGCCATACCCATCCTTCCTCCAGAGCATGACCTGCAGGGACATGGAACAGGTAGGGGACCGCCACAAACACTATTGTCATCATCATACACTACATGCCCTATGATGTCTGAGATTAGTGCTTGCAGTGCCACAGGGTAGTGTCCGTAGGGCACACTGTAGCAAACCGTTTTGCAACAGGATACAAAAATCTTTGTTCTTATTGGACAGGTTCAGAGGCCTCATAAAATGTTCTTCATTTTTATTCTACATTTCTGCATATGTTCATTTCTTAAAAAGCTGCATTGTCGTGGTCTTGCGGTCTAAGCCGCTGCCTCCGGCACACGTCTATGGTGTCGGTATAGGTTTGAATCCGGCCTACTGCCCTTTGACACAACCTATCTCTACCTTTCCCCACTGTCATTCTCTCTCTCTCTCTCTATCTGTTCAATAAAGTCAGAAAATACCTTTAAAAATATATATATATGCTGCATTGTCGACAATGCACGATCTGATCGAATCCCGACGTTGTGTCCATCACAGGTAGGCTACAGTTCCCTTGCACGTTTCATTTATAAATCACATTTTCTTATTGAACAAGTTCAGGTAGTACTATTTCACTTTGTTCCGGACTGTTTCTTCCGATGTGTGCCTACTGAACACCACCCCGTAGCCCTGTGTTGTAGGCCTACCTGCCAAGGGCTTCCTCCCTGCCTCTCCAGCTGCCCTCCCACTATCCGGGTTTCTTCATGAACGCCCTCCATGTCTTCAGTGCTGTTCCCCCCTGGCTGGGTTGAGTTAATCCCAAATAGGTTGGAGGTTGAGTTCCCTTCTCCCTCCATGGTGATGGTGAGGTTCCTGTCAGAGTGGCGGTGGGTCGGGGTGAAGGGCTCGGAGTCGTTCAGTAGAGAGCGACGCAGCGAAGCCTCACTCTGCTTCTTCCCACAAGGGAACGCCACTGGCAATGAAAATGTACAGTATAACCATCTAGAGCGTATGGCTCTAGAGACAGCAAAGAAATAGGTTGTTTTTCGGTGCATAGTCTACCTGCTTCAGAGCAGGTTTTGCTGTCCTCATCTAACTGGTAGCCCTCTGCACAGCTGCACTGGACCCCTGTGGTGCGCTCCTGGTTGGTGCAGTAATGCAGACAGCCGCCATTCTTAAACTGGCACTCAAACACCTCTGGAGGAACAGCGCAAGGTTCAAAGATCAACAAAATGGCCATTTTATGGTAATAGAAGTGTAGAATAGAATTGACTCCTTAATTGTACTTTATCGAGCAGGCAGTTAGCTGTCTTTAAGGGGGTAATTTGAAACCTGAAGGGGTCCTACAGTATCAATCAAAATTAGCTTACAAATATTTCCTACTATAAGTACAGTAATTAATTTGCTAGCTAGTTTTTTTTAAACAAGTCCCAATTCTATTGTTTAGATACAGTGCATTCGGAAAGTATTCAGACCCCTTGACTTTTCCCACGTTACATTACAGCCTTATTCTAAAATGGATTAAATAAATAAAAATCTTCAATCTACACACAATACCCCATAATGACAAAGCGAAAACAGGTTTTTAGAAATGTTTGCAAATGTTTTAAAAGTAAAGAACATACCTTATTTACATAAGTATTCCGACCCTTTGCTATAAGACTTGAAATTGAGCTCAGGTGCATCCTGTTTCCATTGATCATCCTTCTGATGTTTCTACAACTTGATTGGAGTCCACCTGTGGGAAATTCAATTGATTGGACATGATTTGGAAAGGCATACACCTGTCTATATAAGGTCCCACAGTTGACAGTGCATGTCAGAGAAAGAAACAAGCTATAAGGTCGAAGGAATTGTCCGTAGAGCTCCGAGACAAGATTGTGTCGAGGCACAGATCTGGGAAAGGGTACCAAAGATATTCTGCAGCATTGAAGGTCCCCAAGAACACAGTGGCCTCTATCATTCTTAACTGGGAGAAGTTTGGAACCACCAAGACTCTTCCTAGAGCTGGCCGCCCGGCCAAACTGAGCAATCGGGGGAGAAGGGCCTTGGTCACGGAGGTGACCAAGAACCTGATGGTCACACTGACAGAGCTCCAGAGTTCCTCTGTGGGGATGGGAGAACCTTCCAGAAGGACAACCATCTCTGCAGCACTCCACCAATCAGGCCATTATGGTATAGTGGCCAGACGGAAGCCACTCCTCAGTAAACGGCACATGACAGCCTGCTTGAAGTTTGCCAAAAGGCACCTAAAGGACTCAGACCATGAGAAACAAGATTCTCTGGTGTGATGAAACCAAGATTTAACTATTTGGCCTGACTGCGGCAGCATCATGCTGTGGGGATGTTTTCAGCGGCAGGGACTTGAAACTAGAAAGATAAACGGAGCAAAGTACAGAGAGATCCTTGATGAAAACCTGCTCCAGAGCACTCAGGACCTCAGACTGGGGTGAAGGTTCACCTTCCAATAGGACAATGACCCTAAGCAAACAGCCAAGGCAACGCCGGAGTAGTTTTGGGACAAGTCTCTGAATATCCTTGAGTGGAACAGCCAGAGCCCGGACTTGAACCCGATCGAACATCTCTGGAGAGACATGAAAATAGCTGTGTAGCGACGCTCCTCATCCAACCTGACAGAGCTTGAGAGGATCTGCAGAGAAGAATGGGAGAAACTCCCCAAATACAGATGTGCTAAGCTTGTAGCGTCATACCCAAGAAGAATCAAGGCTGTAATTGCTTCCAAAGGTGCTTCAACAAAGTACTGAGTAAAGGTCTGAATACTTATGTAAATGTGATATTTCAGTTATCTATACATCTGCAAAAATGTCTAAACCTGTTTTTGCTTAGTCATTATTGGGTATTGTGTGTAGATTGTTGAGGAAAAAAATTACTTTTTTCCACTACGAGAAGGGTTGTACAGTAACTTCTGCAAGTGTTTTTTTCAACAACTGTCCTGTAAGTGGTTCAATGAGGTCACATTCACAAAAGAATACGCTGTGCCACAACAGTTGTACAATTGTTGTACAATGATTGTAGACCAGAGGAGGCTGGTGGGAGGAACCACAGGAGGACAGGCTCATTGTAATGACTGGAATGGAATAAATGGAACAGAGTCAAACGTGGTTTCCATATGTTTGATCAGTTTAATACTGTTCCATTTATCCCATTCCAGCCATTCCAGCCTCCTATAGCTCCTCCCACCAGCCTCCTCTGTTGTAGATGTGCCAGTGTGAACTGCACCAGTACTGTAACAGAGCAATATTCAGTGTGGATTCCAGGCTATGACTGGGAGGTCCAGGGTCATGTAATTCAGGAGGTGAGAGTTTATAGGCACAGGAAAACACAGATGTATTATGACTGAGTAAAACTATATACCTATTCCACAGGTATTCCCATCGTAGCGTGGGGGACACAGACAGAGGTAACCATCCCGATCAATAGTGCAGATTCCTCCGTTCTTACATGGGTTGTAGTGGCAAGGATTTAGATCTAATTCACAATTCATACAGATACATCTCATCAAAAGCTTTCATTTTAAGTGACAATGCGGATTTCTGATACAGTTTTCAAAACAACTGGAAAGGATCTAATGAAGCAATACCATACTCACTCTTATACCTATACCAAAACTCCATCTGTAAGATAAGACCAAAGGGATACAGTCAGTTTGAATGTGGTGTTTTGAGCTGTATGCGCTTTAGCGTACTCCTCTGACTATCCTGTCATGTAAGAAGGCCTAGTTACTTACACCTTGCATTAACATGTGATTTAGTGATGCGCGGGTTGACGCATAACCCGCTGCGGTGCGGGCGGGTTTAGGGTCATTCAATATTTTGTGGATGAAGGGCGGGTGGGTTGCGAGCAGTTGAATAAAGAGAAAATAATGCATTAAAAAAATCCATAAATGTATCATTCTTGTGCAGTTCGTATCTATAGGCTACATTGAGGTTTCCTTTTAATTATTTGTATCTGCCATTAGTGGGTAAGCTTAACAGTGGGTTTTGACCAGAGGCGGCGGCGCCTCTTGACAACGCTTCCCTCCAACACTTCGCTTGAAATTTGCATAAAGTAAACATTTTCTAGTGCTCTGCTAGCAGGGTTCTTGGTGCTCACCTTCCCATAATCCCACGCACATTTTTCTGCGTGCCCTCGTTGAAAACGAATGGGGATGGAACTTCTCCTGCTGAATTCGTGGAAACGAAAACTGCCCTCAATCTGCTACTCCGCATAGCTGATTGGTCAGTTCAGAGCGCTAGTAAACCCTCGTTTCTGATAGGCTTGCTTTGAGATGCGCATGGCTAGCTTGCTGGCTCGCCTCAGCATCCGATTAATTTATAGCTAGCTACAGAGATAGGATAAATACTTATTTATAATCTTTGATACGTTTTTTTATTTTCTTTGATGGATTCTAAAAGCAAGTGAACCAACATGAACGTCACTGACGGTGAGTACAGGTTGCATCGATAGCTAGCTACTGTATCCAAATCAAATCCAAATCAGTGACGTGTCAAATCAGATCAGTGCAAATAGTCCGGGTAGCCATGATTAGCTGTTCAGGTGTCTTATGGCTTGGGGGTAGAAGCTGTTGAGAAGTCTTTTGGACCTAGACTTAGCACTCCGGTACCGCTTGCCTTGCGGTAGCAGAGAGAACAGTCTGACTAGGGTTGCTGGAGTCTTTGACAATTTTGAGGGCCTTCCTCTGACACCGCCTGGTATAGAGGTCCTGGATGGCAGGAAGCTTGGCCCCAGTGATGTACTGGGCCGTACGCACTACCCTCTGTAGTGCCTTGCGGTCGGAGGCCAAGCAGTTGCCATACCAGGCGGTGATGCAACCAGTCAGGATGCTCTCGATGGTGCAGCTGTAGAATTTTTTGAGGATCTGAGGACCCATGCCAAATCTTTTTAGTCTCCTGAGGGGGAATAGGCTTTGTCGTGCCCTCTTCATGACTGTCTTGGTGTGTTTGGACCATGATAGTTCGTTGGTGATGTGGACACCAAGGAACTTGAAGCTCTCAACCTGTTCCACTACAGCCCCGTCGATGAGAATGGGGGCGTGCTCAGTCCTCTTTTTTTTCCTGTAGTCCACAATCATCTCCTTTGTCTTGGTCACGTTGAGGGAGAGGTTGTTGTCCTGGCACCACACGGCCAGGTCTCTGACCTCCTCCCTATAGGCTGTCTCATCGTTGTCGGTGATCAGGCCTACCACTGTTGTGTCGTCGGCAAACTTAATGATGGTGTTGGAGTCGTGCCTGGCCATGCAGTCATGGGTGAACAGAGAGTACAGGAGGGGACTGAGCACGCACCCCTGAGGGGCCCCCGTGTTGAGGATCAGTGTGGCAGATGTGTTGTTACCTACCCTTACCACCTGGGGGCGGCCCGTCAGGAAGTCCAGGATCCAGTTGCAGAGGGAGGTGTTTAGTCCCAGGATCCTTAGCTTAGTGATGAGCTTAGAGGGCACTATGGTGTTGAATGCTGAGCTGTAGTCAATGAATAGCATTCTCACGTAGGTGTTCCTCTTGTCCAGGTGGTAAAGGGCAGTGTGGAGTGCAATAGAGATTGCATCATCTGTGGATCTGTTGGGGCGGTATGCAAATTGGAGTGGGTCTAGGGTTTCTGGGATAATGCTGTTGATGTGAGCCATGACCAGCCTTTCAAAGCACTTCATGGCTACAGACGTCAGTGCTACGGGTCGGTAGTCATTTAGGCAGGTTATCTTAGAGTCCTTGGGCACGGGAACTATGGTGGTCTGCTTGAAACATGTTGGTATTACAGACTCAGTCAGGGACATGTTGAAAATGTCAGTGAAGACACTTGCCAGTTGGTCAGCACATGCTCGGAGTACACGTCCTGGTAATCCGTCTGGCCCTGCGGCCTTGTGAATGTTGACCTGCTTAAAAGTCTTACTCACATCGGCTACGGAGAGCGTGATCACATAGTCATCCGGAACAGCTGGTGCTCTCATGCATGCTTCAGTGTTGCTTGCCTCGAAGCGAGCATAGAAGTGGTTTAGCTCGTCTGGTAGGCTTGTGTCACTGGGCAGCTCGCGGCTGTGCTTCCCTTTGTAGTCTGTAATAGTTTTCAAGCCCTGCCACATCCGACGAGCGTCAGAGCCAGTGTAGTACGATTCAATCTTAGACCTGTATTGACTCTTTGCCTGTTTGATGGTTCGTCGGAGGTCATAGCGGGATTTCTTATAAGCGTCCGGGTTAGAGTCCCGTTCCTTGAAAGCGGCAGCTCTACCCTTTAGCTCAGTGCGGATGTTTCCTGTAATCCATGGCTTCTGGTTGGGGTATGTACGTACGGTCACTGTGGGGACGACATCATCGATGCACTTATTGATGAAGCCAGTGACTGATGTGGTGTACTCCTCAATGCTGTCTGAAGAATCCCGGAACATGTTCCAGTCTGTGCTAGCAAAACAGTCCTGTAGCTTAGCATCTGCGTCATCTGACCACTTTTTTATTAACCGAGTCACTGGTGCTTCCTGCTTTAGTTTTTGCTTATAAGCAGGAATCAGGAGGATAGAGTTATGGTCAGATTTGCCAAATGGAGGGCGAGGGAGAGCTTTGTATGCGTCTCTGTGTGTGGAGTAAAGGTGGTCTAGAGTTTTTTTCCCTCTGGTTACACATTTAAACATGCTGGTAGAAATTAGGTAGAACGGATTTAAGTTTCCCTGCATTAAAGTCCCCGGCCACTAGGAGCGCTGCATCTGGATGAGCGTTTTCCTGTTGATTAATGGCCTTGTACAACTCATTCAGTGCAATCTTAATGCCAGCATTGGTTTGTGGTGGTAAATAGACAGCTATGAAAAATATAGATGAAAACTCTCTTGGTAAATAGTGTGGTCTACAGCTTATCATAAGATACTCTACCTCAGGCGAGCAAAACCTCGAGACTTCCTTAGTATTTGGTTTTGTGCACCAGCTGTTGTTTACAAATATACACAGACCGCCACCCCTGGTCTTACCGGAGTCAGCCGTTCTGTCCTGCCGATGTAGCGTATAGCCTGCTAGCTGAATGTTATCATTGTCGTCGTTCAGCCACGACTCGGTGAAACATAAGATATTACAGTTTTTAATGTCCCGTTGGTAGGATAACCGTAATCTTAAATCGTCCACTTTATTTTCAAAAGATTGAACGTTGGCTAATAGGATTGATGGAAGAGGCAGTTTACTCGCTCGCCGTCGGATCCTTACAAGGCACCCCGATCTGCGTCCACGATATCTCCGTCTCTTCTTCACGCGAATGACGGGGATTTGGGCCTTGTCGGGTGTCTGTATGATATCCTTCGCGGCCGCCTCGTTGAAGAAAAAATATTTGTCCAATACGAGGTGAGTAATCGCTGTCCTGATATCCAGAAGCTCTTTTTGGTTATAAGAGACGATGGCAGAAACATTATGTACAAAATAAATTACAAATAACGCGGAAAAACACACATAATAGTACAATTGGTTAGAGGGCTGTAAAACGGCAGCCATCTTCTCCGGCGCTGTTTTCTGGATGCACAGAAGTGGTGGATGGTGTGCCCGCCTCCTGAGTCAGACTGTAAGTCCACTCCGAATACTTATTCTCCGCCGGTGGCGACTTGGAGCAGCCTCTGGGATAAGTTCAATTAGCCCTGGGGGGTACGAACAAAGGATCCAATTCGGGAAAGTCGTATTCCTGGTCATAATGCTAGTGAGTTACCACCACTCTGATATCCAAAAGTTATTGCCGGCTGTATATAATAACACAAAACTTTCTGAGCTAAAAAGGTACAAAATAATACACAAAAAAACAAAATACTGCAAAGTTGCTTAGGGGCTAGAAGCAGAGCTGCCATGTCTGTCGGCGCCATCTTGCTATCTTAATCCACTTTAGAATAAGGCTGTAACGTAACAAAATGTGGAAAAAGTCAAGGGGTCTGAATATTTTCCGAAGGCACTGTGTAAAAAAATCTTGTCTTAATTTCCACAATTAACGACGAATATGTGTAATAATGTATGCAGTTCATGCGAAGGATTGTTAGGTATAACCAGGATTGCCATTACAAAAATTACATTTTCGACAAGCAATTATTATTTCAGTAAACAATTTATTGTGATTCATCCTATATTGTTCCTAACATCATTACCCCATAGCAACAGATGTGGGACGCACACACACACACCATTCCCCACAAACAACCACAAGCCGAGCCCAACTCAAGAAAGGACTTGATGTGCGAATGCATATACAGTTGTAGCTGTTTGAGAAGTCATTGGGAGATTTGATTAACCAATGTCAAGTCCTAGCTGATGGAGATCAGATACACCCCCTTCCTCTGAAACACACACACACTGGTCCCCTGCTGTGACCATTTTCCCAAGCATCTCTGTGCAGTCAGACCTTTGATTATTTTGTGCCACCAGGGCCACAATAATTTGCCCCCTCTCTGTCTGAATGTCTGGGTTACTGCAGCTAGTGTTTTTTTTAAAATGTGATATATTTTTATATTTCTTTTGGGGGGGGGGGGGGTAAATCAGCTTTAATATTTCAGATAGATTGTAAGTTCCATCAATGTAATTGTCTGCATCACTTCCAATCCCCCATGTTTTTTTGTCGCAAATATATATATATATATATATATATATATATATATATATATATATATATATATATATATATATATATATATATATATATATATATATATACACACACACACACACACATATCCTTTTATAAATTATCTTTCCCTTCATTACTTTCCAACCCCACCACTCCTTCCCCAATTGGAGTAAACTAGTGAACAACAACGCTTAGGCCTCTACTTCCAGCCCATACATACTATATACAGTGGGGAAAAAAAGTATTTAGTCAGCCACCAATTGTGCAAGTTCTCCCACTTAAAAAGATGAGAGAGGCCTGTAATTTTCATCATAGGTACATGTCAACTATGACAGACAAATTGAGATTTTTTTTCTCCAGAAAATCACATTGTAGGATTTTTAATGAATTTATTTGCAAATTATGGTGGAAAATAAGTATTTGGTCAATAACAAAAGTTTCTCAATACTTTGTTATATACCCTTTGTTGGCAATGACACAGGTCAAACGTTTTCTGTAAGTCTTCACAAGGTTTTCACACACTGTTGCTGGTATTTTGGCCCATTC